GACATCAAAGAATTTGTGGCTGCTTGTCCTGTGTGCCAACAGAATAAATATGACGCCATGAGTCCAGCAGGTTTACTTCAGCCATTACCCATACCTCACCAAGTGTAGGAAGACATTTCTATGGAGTTCATCATGGGCCTCCCCAAAGCCAAAAGGGTCGATACAATTTTGGTAGTTGTGGATCGTCTAACTAAATATAGCCATTTTTTACCTCTCAAGCATCCGTACACAGTCAAAGTGGTAGCGGATCTGTTTATCAAAGAAGTGGTTCGCTTGCATGGGTTTCCCCGTACCATTGTTTCCGATCGAGATAGGATTTTCATGAGCAACTTTTGGAGCGAATTATTTAAACAATCGGGCACCCACTTACACATAAGTTCCGCATACCATCCATAGACAGATGGTCAGATAGAGGTAGTAAACCGTTGCCTAGAGACTTATCTCCGATGCTTTGTCAGTGGACAGCCGCAGTTATGGCCCAAATGGATTCCATGGGCAGAATTTTGGTTCAACACTACTTATAAACGCTCCACAGGAATGTGTCCTTTTAAGGCCCTCTATGGCCGTGATCCAACCGCAATTTTGTTTTATTTGGACCAAACCTCTTCAGTCGAAGAAGTAGACCAGTAACTTTAGCCACGCAACAGTGTTTTAGATGAGCTAAAAGAGCATCTCCTCAAGGCTCAACACCACGTGAAGTCTTATGCTGATCAACATCGCCGGGAAGTTACGTTTGAGGTTGGGGACTCTGTTTATTTAAAGTTGCAGCCATACAGATTGCGATCTCTCGCTCGTTGACTTAATGAGAAACTTAGCCCACGGTTTTATGGTCCATTTGTCATCACGGACAGAATTGGGGCAGTTGCATACCGACTGGCACTCCCACCCTCAGCTCGTATTCATGATGTTTTTCATGTTTCAAAATTGAAAAAAGCAATTTTTCCAATTCCCAATAGTCAACCCCTACCGACAGCTCTCAACGAAGATCTCATATTACAGCTTGAACCGGAAGCAGTACTCAAGAAGAGGAAACTCATTAATGGACAGTGGGAAGTGCTCATTCAATGGAAAGGCTTTCCCCTATTTGAAAACACTTGGGAAGACTTTGAAACTATCCGCTGTCAATTTCCTTCTTTCCACCTTGAGGACAAGGTGGCTCTTCTTGGGGAGGGTAATGATGAGCAACCAAGGGGAATGGTCTACCGTAGGAAGAAGAGTGGTGAGAAGCAAGGGAATATTGGTTAGGCAGGAGGTTAGAGTTTGTTATGAGGGGACAGGTGGCTTGGTAGGAGTAAGAGAGAAGAGAATTCTGTTAGAAATCAAAAGGTGTCAGGAGAGAATAAAAAGGGCAGGAACAAAAGAGAGAGGATTAAGAAATATAAAGTCATTTTGGAAGGGAGGCTACTGACCCTCGAAGTCAGTAAATGTGGAGGTGGCTGATCCTCGCAGTCAGTCTTATGTTTACCATTTTCTTAGTATATTTTGTTATTTTCTCTGTGTAATTACTATCTGAAATTTGGGGTGAGCACGGGTAGCAGGTAGAACCAGAACCTGGGGGTAGAACCAGAACCAGAACCGGAACCTACCCGAAACCGACACTGTGAGGGTAGGTTCCGGTTTCAATTTTTTGGAACCGACACTGTGCAGTTTCAGTTCCGGTTCTTGTGTGTGGAGGAACCGAAACCTGGAAAAAAGAACCTAAAAAGGGTACCCTGTTTGGAACCTGTAACGGATACCCAGTTTAGAACCGATTTTGGAACCTGTTTTGGAACCTATTTGAAACCTATTTTGGAACCTGTTTTGAAACCTGTTTTGGAATCTGGACTGCAATGAAATATTTGTGAAATGTGAATAATGGGGAGTTTCTATTATTTTACATATAAAAAAATTTAAAATAGAAAAAATTAAATTTTTAGAATAACCTAATTAAATAAATATACTAATATAATTATACTTATTACATATAAATTATACCATATTAAAAACTTTAATATATTAATATTAAAATTTTCATTAATTAAGTGAATAATTGGAATTATGGTCCAATTAAAAGTGTTTTAAATTATTAATGTTATTAAAAGAACTATTTTTGAATAAAATAGTATATTTGATTGAATAATAATATATTTAGTTATTTACTTCAATTATCAAGTTCTAAGTATATTTATAGTAAAAGTAGCAATTAATTAATTATACATGATAGATGATAAATATTAATAAATTTAATTACTATCATACTAATCAATTATAAGTTTATACATTACATTATAGTTAAATGATTATTAATTAATTATAATTTATAACATTACTTAATTGATTTATAGTATAATTATATAGCATTACATTAATTAATTAGTACTTAATTAATTGACTTATAAGTTATAATATTTAGTATATTACTTAATTAATAATTAGAATTAATTAATTATAGCATATATTATAGATTTATAGTATAATACTAATCAATTATAAAATTTCATATAAATATTAGTACAAACTTAATTAAATGAGTAAAAAATTAATTAATTATAATATTACATTAAAGATTTATAGTATGATTACTTAATTCACTATAACATTACATTATAATATATTAAAATTAATTATAACATTACTGCATTAGTGCATTACATAATTAAATGATTACTTAATTGATTATGCATTATATATAAATATTAGTAATTACTAATTTACTATATAACATTAGTAATTTAGCATAATACTTAATTAAATTATAGAAATTTAATTAATTACAGCATTACATTATAAATATAGTATGATTACGTAATTAATTTTAACATTACATTATAATTAATGATACTTTAATTATAATATTCTATTATAAACAAATTAATATAATATTATATTAAAGATTTATAGTATGATTACTTAATTCATTGTAACATTTCAATATTTATTATAATGTGATTAGTTGATTACATAATTAATTATAACATTACATAATTAGATGATTATTAATTGATTATGAATTATATTATAAACATTAATTAAACATACATTATAAAATGATTACTTAATTAAATGATTAGAAATTTAATTAATTAAATATTACATTATAGTTAAAAATTACTTAATTAAATTATAACATTATTACATTACATTATATTATGATCACTTAATTAATTATAATATTAATTAAAGATTTATAATATGATACTTAATACATAACATTACAATCGTATGATCACATAATTATTATACATACATAATTAATAATTACGTAATTGATTATGAATTATAATTTATATTATAAACATTAGTAATTACTAATTTACTACATAAATATTAGCACAATACTTAATTAGATTAGAAATTTAATTGATATAAAATACCTTATAAACATTACATTATAAACATTAATTAGCATTTATTATAATTAAATAATTACTCAATAAATTATAACATCATTATATTACATTATATATGATCATTTACTTAATTATAGCATTACATAGTTAAATGATTACATAATTAGTTAGAATTTATAACATTATATTATAAACATTAGTAATTACTATATTATTCATTACTTAATTAAACGATTAAAAATTAATTAATTATAACATTACCATATATTTATAATATGATTACTTAATCAATATAACATTCATTATAAACCTTAGTATATTAATTAAATGATTAGAAATTTAATTAATTAAATATTAAATTCTAGATTTATAGTATGATTACTTAATTCATATAACATATTAACATTACATTATACTATTATGTATGATCATATAATTAATATAATATTAAATAATTAAAATATTAATGATTATATTAATTATGACGTATATTATAAATATTAGTAATTTACTAATTTACACAATACTTAATTAAATGATTAGAATTATTAATTATAACTTTACTTATAAATTTATAGTATGATTACTTAATTATTATAACATTTTATTATAAACAATATTACAATACAATTAAATGATTAACAATTTAATTAATTATAATATCATTATAGTTAAATAGTATATACTTAATATAAAACATTACAATTACATTGTAGTAGATCACTAATTAATTAAAAACTACACAATGAAAGCATTACTTAATTAATTATGACATTATATTATAAACATTAAACATAAGTAATTAATTAAATTATTAGAAATTTAATTGATTATAACATTACATTATTGTTAAATAACTACTTAAATAATTATAAGTATTTATAACATTACATTATAATATGATCACTTAATTAATTATAACATTACATTATAATTTAATAATTATAATGTAATGTTTGAATGATTTTGGTGAAGTTATTTGATGTGAATTGTGATGAATAATTGTTTGTGTTTTGGTTTTGATTGACGAATTTTATGTGAATTGTGATGAATTGATTGAATTTAAGTGTTGCCTAGAGATTACAGGTTATTATAAGTTACATTGAACACAAATGAATGAATAATCAAAATTTGTTAGGGGTGTATTTGTAAACTTTTAAAGTATTTTTGTCATTTTTTAAACTAATATGGGGGTAATTGATTTTTTATAAGGTACCCGGGAAAGCAACCGGAACTTGCATTTTAGGTTCCGGTTCCTTGAATTGATAAACCTACACTGTGTGGTTCCGGTTCCGGTTCCTTTTTTTGAGAACCTGCACTGTGCGGTTCCGGTTTCTCCGGAAAGTGCAGGGTACCCGGAACCGCTCACCCTTATCTGAATATCGATAGGAAATTGCTACTGGGTGAGTCTTTTCTGGATGTAATGTGCTGTGTGATTGTTAATACAACAGGGTATTTTCTCATTTGAGTGTGCGTATTAGCTGTTTTGTGGATAGATTGTTGGTTTTGTTGTGGATTTGCAGGTCGGGTGCTCATCAGTCTGGAATGAAAAATTAGGGTGATCCAATCTCTTAATAATGCTTTTCATTGTATGCCATATGTTCAAGTTTATTGCCTTAATATCTTCTTTCTCAGGATTATGTTTACTAGTATTTTGTTCTGTATAACTAGATGGCTATGGTAACTGGATTAAATCTTCTGCAAAACCGAGCAGTGGTAATTTCTCTTTTTGATTTATTTAGTATTATTCAATGCTTTCGTGTTTTCATTTTAGTTTGACGCGTTATGAATCTTCTTCTATAATAGTTCTCAAGTTGATTTGCTGAATCACAACAGGAGCAACATCAAAGAGGAGCTGCGAATGGAATTGCTATAACAACAATGTCACTTTTCAAAGCTGCTGGTCCAGCAGGAGGAGGTGCTCTGTAAGCGTCCTCTTGATTTCATTGCAAAGTTTTCACTTGTAGTGCTGTTAGAACTAATAAAAGGATTGCATTTGGTGTCAACTTCTGATGCCAAGCTACAACATGATAAGATTAGTCTTGTAATATAATCATTCAACATAAAAGAGCATCTGTCCCGGCATCTCTATAAGAATTCATAAATACTAAAAAGGCACTCCAATTCATACAAGTTAGTTTGAAATTCCCTGTTTAGTATCTTTGTATAATCTCTTAGATATCATTTCTATTAATAATTGTCACAACAACGAACATGAGAATAAGTAGTCCTCCCCACTTAAAGGCCTGATAAATATACATGGTAGCTCCAAAAATAAGATTTTTTTGGCTGATCTGCCAAACCTTTGTGAAATAATATCAAAAAATTGTATTTAGAAAATTTATTTAATTCTTACAAATAAATGTAACATATGATAAAATGCTATCATTTGCTCATTAAATTCATAATTTGGGTCATTGCAGATTGTCTTGGGCACAAAAACGCCGAGATGCTTTCTTCCTCCCAGGTATGATTCAAATTGAATTTCTCAAGGAGGATTGGTTTGTGTGTTACATTCTGAGAGGAGTTTCTGCACCTCTTGGTGGGTTTTAGATTCAGAATGCCTTAGATTGTTGTGGGGGTATCGTACCTTCTAACCTAAACCAAAAACCAGAGAAACGCTGAGATTTTCTGTCATAAATCGTCGGTGGTTGAAACCCTATTCCTAGAAGAGTTTTCTGGATTTGGGTTTCCTTAATAGCTTCTTCACCGCATAACATAGATTTAGTTTGTTACATTTCTATTTCACAGTGATAACTGTATCATATTAACTTCACCAGCAAAATGACATTTACGTAACCCTTGCTAACAGACTAAAACATGTTCAAAAAATTGTCGGGAATTTCTTATCAGCATTAGCATTTATTAGGATACAGAGGTAGAATGATGAAAAGTTAGAAAATAAACCGAACACACACGTTATATATATTCAGATCTCAACTGATGTGTCATTGGTTTTACGTTGCCATACGAGTAGATGATATATAAATTAATACATCGACATCTCTTGAAATACATACAGAAATTGGTGAATAAACCAGCATTGTATCACATTACTTGTTGCTTTAAACTAAGTTAATCATTCATGAAGTCCAAGGGCTTAGCAGCTGAAATTTTGTGCAGGTGACCAAGCGATTTTCTTCATGCTAAATGTGGTTATGGCGGTTGCAGTAATATTGTCCTTCAAACCTTTTCTTACTCAACGCCGCGGGTAGACAGATAAATCTATTCAATTCTCAAGCACAGCCTTGAAAAAGTAGAAACAAACTCAACTCTTTTGCGAGGTTTGATATCACGGTGTGTAATTTATGATTATCAAACTTTTATCTGTCATTTCAAGCTTTTGGGTTCAGTGATTACTTAACATGATATTATAAAACTTGAGAACTCGATAATATTTTATTGCTGTAACTCTTTATGAAATGTTTAAATGGCCATTTCAGCTATTTATGTGAGTCTATGCCCAGTAATAATTCTTCTTAACATTATTTTATTTTTATTTTTATATTTTTAGATTAAGTTTGTTTCGATCATTGTGGAAAAATATATGAAAATTATCGCTGTATTTTTTGTGAAAATTTAAAAATTAAATCATTCAACAGTATTCATAATAATTAAGAATATTTCGTGATCTTCTACATCGGATGGTTTAAAAATCCGAAACTGTCCCACGAATTTACATGGCTAAACTTAGATAGTATTCACAATAAGAAAATTTTGACGAATTTCATAATCATCAAAATTGATGTTGTTAAAGGATGTTAATCTTTATTAATTGAATTTTTTTTTTATATTTTTAAATTCGGTATAATTTGTTAATTTTTGTATCCATTTTTAAATAAAATTACATCAAATTATATTATTTTTTTATATGATTAAGGAAATAAAAATGTTATCATATATGTTGGGTTATTATAATTATGATTCTTCACTTTTTATATTTTTTTACTGTTATTTTAGTAAATTTATTTAATAATTAACTTTTTGAAACTAAAATAGATTAAAAAAATGGAGGTTAATGAAACAGATAGCGTACAAATTTAATATTTGTACTATTTTTGTCGAATTTTCATTTAATTATAGCAAATAATAACGAATAATAACTGAAAAACAAAAAATTTGGTAAAAGCAACATAAACCTCTTTCAATTTAATAAATTGTCAGTTAATTATCTTGACTTTTGCGATAAATTCATTAAGTCAAACACGTGGGAAGAATATGAAGATGCTTAACTTAAAAATATTTGTATAATTTTTTTCAAAATTTTATTCTTTTATTATTTATCCAAATTTAAAAAAAAAATAAGGTTTCACATATCACATTTATTTAATTATCTCTTTTATATCACCATTTTATTTTATGTTAATTAGTCTTTTAGATTTATACAAAAAAATGACTCAGGAATTTAAATTTGTAATTTCTGAGAAAAGTTAAAAAAAGAAAAAAGAAAAAGAAAAATATCCCTTTACCGATACAACTCATGTGGGCTGCAATTGAAAATTTTAACATGTAAGGGTCTCTTTAAAAAAAAAAAAACCATAAATAATTGATTCAATCTCCTATCAATTATCACAACTCATATTTGTTTAATTATCTCAATTTATTGGTTGTAAATCTTTTGAATTCTTTTGAATTAAACTTTAAATTTATTAACTTAAAAAAAAAAAAAAAATTATGTTACAACTCATAGGGGTTGAAATGTATTTTTAAGAGTTGAGGGATTCTTTTGAAAATATCACGATAAATAATGGAACTGGTAGGTGGTGTTGTTATCAATTATCATTCATATCTCCAAGACGATCATTTCCTCTGTACATTATTTTTCGCCTGCCGAACAACAAGAGGAATTTACACGACGTCGTTTTCAACCAGGGTTTCCATTACAGGTACCTCTGATTAAATTGCTTATCGCCATTAATTTTTCTTTAATTCTTTACTCTTTCCTTGTATTCTTATTCTCACTCGCCTTTTGCCCCACCCAAAATTTAACATTTATCCGAGTTGAACGAAGGTTCTTTTTTGCGCTAAATTAATATATGGATTCAAGCTTAATATTGTTCTATTAGCTTCTGGATATGTCTTTCCTTAAAACCTATCTGGGAGATTTGTGAAAATTGTTATCGATTAAAGGGTTTGGCTACATTACCTAAACGGTAACTTTACCAGGATATTAATTGAATACTTAATTTATTAATTACTATTGGGTTGGAATCTTGAAGTTGGTTGATGGGCTGGTGAGGTTACCGAAATGGCAATGTGGTATTGTAGTATTGGCCTCAATTGAATGAGGATTTTTTAGAAGTTAGTTTTAATTTTTCGATTGTGTTTGTGATTTAGGGTTTTGATCAAGATGACGCCAGTTTGTCCGTTTGTGAAAGCGTCACGCCCTGATGATGCTTCTTCAAGAAAAGGGGGTGATAATTCGAATAAACCGCCGGCAGAGTGTCCGTTTGCAAAAGCATTTCGTGGTGATGATAACTCCTCAAAGAAACCTGGTGAGAATTCGGAGAAATATCAGGCAGAAAATGAGGTTAACAAGGCAAAGAACGAATCGAATACTAACCCTGCCACCATTTCTCCAAGGTGTCCTTTTGGATATGATTCTGAAACGTTTAAGATAGGTCCACTTAGTTGCATGATTTGCCAAGCGCTTCTCTTTGATACTAGCAAATGTGTGCCTTGTTCTCATATATTTTGCAAGTAAGTACAAAGTGGAGCATCTTGTTTATCCTGAAATCTTGTTTTATTACATTTGGTTATTGAATGTAATTTAATGAACTTTTGTTAAATTGAAATCAGAGTATGCATATCACGCTTTAAGGACTGCCCATTATGTGGGGCTGATATTGAGAAGATTGAACCTGACACGGAACTTCAGAAAGTTGTTGATCGCTTCATTGAAGGTCATGCTAGAATCAAGAGGTCTCATGTTACTTCCGACAAAGAGGAAGAAGTAGTGAGTGAAAATAAAAATGTGATATATGAGGATGTCTCCATGGAGAGAGGTGCTTTCTTGGTTTCTCATGCCATGAGGGTGAGTATGGGTGGTTGCGGTACCATTACTATGTTAAAGATCTTGTTTCTAAGGATATGTAAATTGAACTTGCTATGTTGAGTATGTGATGTATGCTACTTTAGTTAATGATTATATTAGTATTCTATCTCCCACCTGACTAACTGATTCTTCTTCCCTTTCTAAAATCCTTCTTACAGAAGATGTCTTATTAATACACAGAAAGCTTTTATGGCAATGCCTTTTTTAAATTTTTTGTTCATCTACCTAAATAATTATAAATTCTTCAACCTACCTGGAAATGATCCAATAGTTGTGACTTATTTTTCTTCTGGTTGCATCTGCTTAGCTGTTTGTTTTCCATTTGCAGGCATTTCGCGCCCAGAATGTAGAAAGTGCAAAATCAAGACTTAGTCTCTGTGCAGAAGATATCAGAGGTCAGATAGAAAAAATGGGAAATACATCAGAGTTGTGTTCACAGCTTGGAGCGGTTCTTGGCATGCTTGGTGACTGCTGGTATGTCCTCTCTCTCTCTTTCTGTTTTTATTGTAGTACTTTATTTTTTCATCATGCTTTTCCATAGAAAATAGTTGCAGTGTTTAATTGGTGCTTATCCTGGCTATCAAATTGATTCATGGGGAAATAAGCTCAGGGATGACTTTATGGCCAAAGAATATAAGCTATTAAAATTAAATAAAAAATGCCATTACTAACCCCTTGGGCAGCGACTCAGAGAGGGAAAACAAAAGAGAGAACATTTGCTAGTTTTGGTTTGTATGATTCTCAAAGATCATTATCATGTAGGAGTTTCCAGTAATGAAGGATTATAAATGGTAGCAGATAAGATCACTTTCAGCGAATTTGGTATGAGAAATTTAAGGATAGCTAAAAAGAAGTTTTTTCCAGAATCTTTGTTCTCTTTCGTGGCATGATTATGGCTGTTTAAGGTGATACTCCAAGAAGACTTTTGTGAGATTTATTTTCCTTTATTACTTTGAGTATTTTAAACTGCAGTGAGACCTAACTCCACATAATGAATCTTGAAATGCAAATCATCTATGTCCATCAATCACACAGGATCTTGAAAAAGTCAGCTTCCAGTTAGTGCTTGCAGCAAACATTAACAGCCTTCAACAGTTTATCAATTGGCCTCTTTTCTGCCTCGATTTTGTACCAATCTTTTCTATTTACACCCTTTTAAACTTTGAATGCCAGTAGATCCTCATCATGTTTTAACTGCAATGACCAATAATTATCAGCCTTAGATACCTGCTTATTGTCCAGAAACTCTTTAAGATATGAATCCCTGAATCCCTAGCCAGCCTATTACACTTTTGGACACTGAATCTTCTTCTGATGGCAAAGAAGTTCCAAGGAAAATAATTAAGTAGTGAACCTTATGAAAAACATAATAGTGGAAAAACAAAGAGAGGAGAGTTTTGCTAAGATGCCCTGATGAGAACTTGTTGCAAAGCGTTCAAATGTGATGAATAAATGAGTCTTTAGCGTCATATTCTACTGAGAAATTAGAATCTCTTAAGTTATTAATGTCTGTTTATTGTTGATGAAGAAATAAGTGAACTTTTAGTATCATGTTCAACTGAGATTGGAATCTCTAAGTTCTTAATATCCATTTATTGTTTTTTTCCTCTTTGAATATTCTTACAGCCTTCAAGATATCATTCAAAACATGAGATTTTTACTTTGTGTGTTTTTTTAAGCAAAATCTAAACCCTCATTTTTTGATGCAGTCGAGCGATGGGAGATGCTGCTTCTGCAGTTGCTTATTTCCAAGAGAGTGTTGACTTCCTCATGAAATTGCCTATGGATGATATGGAGGTTATAGCATCACATTGTCTGCTACTTCATATTGGCATTTCCTTTATAGTTTAGTGTTGTCATCCTTCTCAGTTTTTTGAATTTTTACTTTACAGATTACACATACACTTTCTGTTTCACTTAACAAAATTGGAGATCTGAAGTATTATGATGGAGATCTGCAAGCTGCAAGATCTTACTATTCTCGTTCTTTGGATGTTCGTCGTGATGCCATCAAACATCAATCAAATGTTCAATCCCAGGTCATCTAACTTCTGCAACATCCATTTCTCATTGTACTATTTATCATATTCTTTTTTCATTTGAGTGATATATATATGTTAGTATCATATATTTGGAGTTTAGAGAAACCTACTTCTGAAAGTTATAAAGGTGATAATCAAATAAGGTTGATAATTTGCTTCAAGCACCAAAATTTTTATGAAGATCAGTGAAAGCACTATTGTGATGTTTGGAGTGAAAGAAGTAATAAACCTTGTGAAAAGAAAATTAAATAAGGAAAGTTTGAAATACTTTTGTGGAGACTAATGTACATTGCTTTATTGTATGCTTTGGTTAATTTCTTTTTGAAAGAATTATGGAAATTCTATTTCTAGAGATAGGTTAAGTTTTCTTTAGGACTGAGTTAACCATTTTCTTGATAGGCTGGAGTGCTGACCCTCTTTCATTACTTTGTACTTTTCCTCTATTGTCATTAAAAAATTCTTTTCTTGTTATAAAAAGAAAAAAAAGACATTGAATAAAATCTAATAAAAAGAATGCTAAGAAAGTGTAAGGTTGGTGGGAAAAAAGTAAATTTTCTTTCTGGATAAACTTTTTCAAGTGGTAGTGTTTGTTATTTGTTTCATGCTATATCTCTTTAGTTCAGAACTTGTATCATTGCCTCTCTTGACCTAGCGGGAGAATGTTGAAATCATGCATCCCCTTATTTCTCTTCAATAGAAAGTCTCATTGTTTTGTGTATATGCATATTTTTCACTATTTCATTGATTCACCTGCTTCGCAATGTTGGATATTTTATAGAATGCTTGAAGATTTTAGTTAGGACCATAAAGCAATGAATTTACTTTCTGAGTTAACATTTTTTTGACTGGTTATTTTGTCTAATTACAGACTTTGGATGTGGCTGTTTCCCTTGCAAAAGTTGCAGACGTCGATAGGAGTCTTGGTGATGAGAATGTGGCAATTGATGGATTTCAGGAAGCCATCCAATTGCTGGAATCTTTGACATTGAAACCTGAAGAAGCTGCTCTCGAGAAACGGGTTAGCTAACTATTCCTGACCTTATTTTATTACTAGTTTGGATTTTTCAATCTGACACTTTATTTGTTCATGCAGCGTCTTTCAGTGCTGGAATTTGTCAACGGCCAACTCGGAGAAAAACAACCTGGGTCAACCACCTGAGGCGTCTTCAGAATTGCAAAATTTATAAGTGAAATAAAATAGGCCCTACTGTACATACTAATAAGCTCAATTTAGCCAAGGCAGTCTCCAGAGAATGAAAAGAGCTTTCATGAGTCGAGCGAAGATATTAGGCAGTCCTCTGCAAAAATGATGCTGGTGATTTGGGCTATGAATAGCATCTTGCCTTGTGAATTTAAATTTTGAAGAGTACTTAAAAGTTTTTAGCTGTGGATCAATGGCTTATATTGGCTCAAGTGCTAGTATTCTTCTTTCAGGTAATGGTGTGTAATTCTTTGTTTTGATGTGAATAACCCATGTCATGGTGATCTTTCGGATGATATTATACAGTGGGCGCACCTTACATATTTCAGTATGGAGTTCTGTGTAATGGACTAAAATGAAAGAATGATGTATTGTTATGTTTGAAATAAAATAAATAAGGCTGTGTTAAATAGCTGGTGAATCTGGGTGTTACTTTTAGCAGGAAACTGTTTAGCCCTTTTTTAGGCCATTTATGGAATAATTATATCTTACAAGAACTTGGGGAATGCGATGAGAGCTCAAGTGAATTATGGATAAAGAATTAAAGGGGGAATCGATCAGTTTTTAGTCTTCAGTACAATCTTTTATGAATTGAAGACTGCAACATCTTTATGATTTTTTGTGATGAACATGGTTAGTTTATGTATGAAATGTGTTGTTGAAATCAATAGAAGTATATGGAACTCGAGAGTTTATAGAACCTCTTTTTTTTTTTTTTTTTTTTGGTGATTTTGGGATTTGAAATTTGGATATATATATATGATGAATTGCTTTATGGGATTATGCTGATAAAGGTGAGGAATTTGATTAAATACAAATCAATGGGCCTATCTCTCATTAAAAATTAAATTAAAAGTTATGTATTTTTGCCAACATTATTTTTAGTTCAAGTTTAATTATATCATAGTTACCTAATGCATGGTGATATTAAATAGTTAGTCCATAAAAGAGATGAGTATGAAGATATTAATGAATCAGTTAGTTCGGTTTATTTATTTAAAGAGTAAAAGATGTAGAAAAGAGATTGACATTGAAATTGGGAAAATGATAGAGTTACTGAAGGTTGTGCACCAAATATGTGCACCGAATGATGTGACAAAATTTTGATCGTTGATTAATATTAACTAATAATGAATCAACGGTCAGGATTTTGTTACGTCATTCAATACACAAATTCGGTATGCAACCTTCAATAACTGTAGCATTACTCTTGAAATTGTTTCACGCCTAATACTCTCATCCCACGTGGTGAAGAAAAATAAAGCTAGAGAAGACCAAAAACAAAGATTTATATAATATAGAAACAAAGAGGTGAGAATAAAGAAAAGAAATTTGCACATGACTATTTCTTCCCTTACTCCTTTTTTTTTATAAAGATAGATAATTACTTGCAACTTAAGTCAATGATTGAACTCCGCTTTATGTTTCTTTTCTCTTTTTATTTATTTACTTTTATATTTTATAATATAATCAATAATTCCCTAATGAAGATTTTGCCTTGACAGATACTTCTTTACTTATTAAAAAGAATCAATACCATTAAGAGAATATATATATATATATAATCCCACCGAAATTAAAAAATAAAAAAGAAAGATAGAAAAGAAGAAAGAATATATGGATTGATTTTTTTACCTTAGTCAAATCTAACATAATTATTTGATAGATTTGGGCTTTAGAAACATCTCTTTACAAACAATATTAAAAAATTCAATTTGTACAAAAGTTATAATTGTCAAATTCAATGCGTCCGGGCAGGCGTAATATAATTCTTAATCTGCTCTCGGGTTGCCTGTAGTGTATAGCTTTAGCTGGATAATTCTCAGCCACTCATAAGTTTAGCGTTCACTTGTCTTATTGACAATGGTCTTACTCCTCTGATCCTTTAGGGATGTGGCTGCATCTTGGCATTGAAAAACCTTTCTGAGTTCTGATTAATTCTTGCACACGCATGCTTACGCTAGCCCTGGATCTTCAGCATAACAACTGTTGTTTTTTTTTTTTTTTTGTATTAAATGACAATAATAAACCATTTATCAGAGAGACAAACTATAAATAAATCTTTATTCTATCTAAAATAAACAAATAAATTTGAACTTGTGAAAAGCAATATTAGAACAGGATTAAGGCTGTTGAATTGGATCATCTTTGAGTAAAAATGACAAGTTTAATTATATATCTTGTCTAAAGAAGAATATAAGAGTAATTAATTAACCTAAAGTCAATAGTATTAGTAATAAAATTAATAAATTATTTGGGCTACGTTCACTTTTAGCTTTTGTGAAACCGACAAAGCATAAAAGTATCAAACGACCAACACAAAAGCCAACCGAGACCCTATTATCATCAAGCATGGTTTTAAAACCTATATTACATAATTTTTGTTTTAAGGTTTTCCAAGACGAAGGAATTAAATTAAGAAGAACATAAAGCGTACGAATTGTATCTTTCTTAATATCTTGTATGTTACAAGAACTTAGAGTGACTATGATTCCTTCTTAATTGTATCCCTTCTGAGAATTGTAAGTTTAACTTTTAATATTTTTAAATTAGTGTCTTAAACTGGAGTTGAACAATGGAAGCGTGGCGTGTCCGATGTATCATATTAGTAGTTATGTTACATGGGTCATCGAAAGAACAGTGACAAACGTCGGGTTCATGAATGCCACGTACATTGCCAATGTGCAAACTTCCTCAGGGTTAGAGGTGAATGTATATCCAAGAATAATGCTATATTTACACTACTTTTTTACACTATTTTCATTACATTATGATGTAGCATATGTTACAACCACACAAATTTTTAATTATTTTGAATTTTTAATATTATAATAGAATTTGTGTGGTTATAACATATATCACGTCATGATATAATGAAAATTGTGTAAAAGAGTGGTGTAAATGTAGCATTACTTGTATATCTAGATAGGATTGAATTTGCTGAGAATGTAACAAGGGTTTCATTCAACAACAAGGAGGCTAATAATGGGTACAATTTTGGATCAATAATTGAAAGAATAGAGAGTAATTGTTAGGATCCCATATCGGGATCTCACACTCACCAAGTGTGGTACTTAAGCTTAAGGGTTTTCCCACCTATGTCTTTTGGATTGGACTCTCTCTTGGGATTAAACTTTAACATTGGTGTTTTCATTGAGAGTTGGGTTGCAAAAGGGTTACCTATAGGCTAGATTAAGGTCTTTCGGTAAGGCTCTTTCTTGGAACTTGTGAAAAGCAATATTAGAACAGGATTAAGGCTGTTGAATTGGATCATCTTTGAGTAAAAATGCAGAAGTTAGCCATGTCAATTCCAAATTTCCCACCTTTGAATGAAAGTTGAATTATATATCTTATCTAAAGAAGAATATAAAGAGTAATTAATTAAACTAAAGTCAATAATATTAGTAATATAATTAATAAATTATTTGGGCTATGTTCACTTTTTGCTTTTGCGAAACCGACAAAGCATCAAACGACCAACGCAAAAGCCAACAGAGACCCTATTATCATCAAGTCTTTACATAAAATATTGTTGCTATTTCATACACATAATATAATCAGTAACAAGCAAAGTTAAACAACGATTAGGAACAATAACATTTAGTTTATTATATATAATCATAATGTTTTTAGGGGTTCGCTTAACGTTCTAAGAAGACGGTCTTATAAATTATATTTCTAATAGAGAGTACAACAATCAACTCTTGCATAATATGATATTATTCTCTTAAGCTTAATTTCGTATTTCTCTTGGGTAGACGCCGTTTTGATTTTTTTTGTTTTTAACTTGGGACGAACATTCCTGATGTGGTGAATACAAGAAAACACAAATTCTTTTGAATTTTTAATACGAAAACGTCCACATTTAAGAATATATATATCACACTTGTATAAAGAAATGATACGAAATAATGAAACCCCATCCTCACATCATCCATTTTGTCAACTCTAAAATCTAAAAAGTTTTGAATCTTAAGTTTAGAATAAGAGTGTTACTGTCATTATATATATATATATGTATATAAAGGATCAAATCAAAATTAACATAAATTTTAATATATTGTTCTTATTAACAAAAATACTCCTTATCATATACCTTTATTTCAGACCTCAAAGTATACAAAACTTGTAGATTACATGGTGAAAAGACTTGTGAGAACATGATCACTAATAATATTATACATTGAAGATGGTGAAGATTTATTTATCTATTAGAATAATCAATCAATCAATGATCCTTAGTGAAAAGTCTCACTCTTCCAACTTTGTCTCTTTAAATAGTTGGCTGATTAAGCGAACTTCTTCACATATCCCCACATTGCTTTCACATGCAAAACTCTTTCCTTAATCCTTCTTCCATGGCTTCCACCTTCCTCAAACTCCTCTCTTTTCTCTTTCTCCATTGCCTCACTGTCACTTCTTCATCGTCAAATCAAACTGCCAAGGTACATTTTTAAGTAAATTATACATTAACTTAGAATTATTAGAAATTTCCACCATTTTCTTGGCAAGCAAACAGATAATTTTAATCATTTTATTGTTGTGTGTTGGCAGCCTTATGTAGTTTACATGGGAAGTTCATCAAATAATGAAAATGGAGATGTCGAAGTTGCAGAGTTGGCTCATTTACAACTATTATCTTCCATTATTCCAGGGTTAAGTGCTTTTCTGATCATGACCATTATCATATTATTAATCAATTTTTAATTTGCTTTAATTAAATTAAATTAATTACTTTTTTAATGGGTTTAATTATTAATTTTTGCAGTGAAGAGAGTGACAGAATATCCTTAATCCACCATTACAAGCATTCTTTCAAGGGCTTCTCTGCAATGCTCACTGAGAAAGAAGCTTCTCTATTATCGGGTAATTAATTAACTAATTCTCTCTTCTTATCTGAACAATAGAGAAAAAGAAATTATTTATCAATATAATATTAATTAATTTGTCTAGGAGAGCTGGAAATGACATTATATATATATAAAGTAAATTGAGACAATAAATAAATAAACACCATAATTGATCATACTTGTCAAGGTATCAAGCATAAAATAAACAAACAAATAAATTAAACTATCTCGTAAAGAGAATCACTTCATTTATATATTCCTCCAATATACTGTATCACATACACATGCATCCATAAAAAATACTGGTGTGACATTTATATATAATCCAGAATAGTATATATTATTGAAGATGGTAATGAGATAAAATTGTGAAAGGTGCAGGGCGTGAAGAGATAGTGTCGGTGTTCCCTGATAGGGTTCTTCAACTTCATACAACACGTTCTTGGGATTTCTTAGAGGAAGCATCAGCTCAGCCAAGCGTAAGCACCTGGGCCAACTACAGATATCACAGACACTCTTCTGATGTCATAATTGGTGTTATTGACACAGGTACAACTTACTTATTTCAATA